TTTGACTCGCCAGAAAACCAAGAACAGCCACCACCACCGTGAGGTGGTGGCTGCCGCCATGTGCCGTGTGTGTGTTAGTAGGTGTGTGTGTTTATTTGAGATTTAGCCATGTAAATGTAATTAGAAGCGGATTAATGAAAAGAAATCTAAAACCACCACCGTAGGGTGGTGGCTGCCGCCTCCTGCCGCCGTGTCGGGTGGCGGTGTGCTTGCTTTGTGAGTTTGATTCGTTTAGGGTGCTAGAAACCATAATGGGCCTTGTAAGCCCTAATAGACTTAAATTGACCCAATGCAAAACCTAATGGGCTTAATGATATTCTAGTGAGCCTAATAGGCCCAATAAAGCCTAATTGACCTAAAAGCCCAACAAATTGATAAATGGGCTAATATTTGGATTGGAAACCCTAATTAGGATTTGGAAAACCCTAATGCCAATAAAACCCTAATTTTGAGAATTAATCGGGACGCACACATGGGAATTATTTAATAACTTGAGATATTAAATAATAATCATTGGCAAAGATTATCTACGAAGCAATATTGGACTTAATGGATTAAGTCCTTAGAGGATTAAGTCCTTAATGGGTTAAAGTGAGAAACACTTAACCCTAATCGTCATTTTATGTGAAACCCTAATTTCACTTGGGTTTATTGTTGGGCCTTGATGATTGGGTTATTAATGGGCCATCCAAGATCAAGCAAATGGACTAGAATAAATAATGGGCTTTGTGGTAAGGCCTATATGAGGAGTTGGGCCCAATTTGGAAAATTGGGCCATAGATGGGCCATAGTTTGGGCCTTTATGTTTATGTGATATTGGACCATTAGAATGTTGAATTTGGACTGGACTAAATGGTTGGGCCTTATGGTAAGACCTTGTAAGGGTTTGGGCCCAATTTGGATAATTGGGCCATATGATGGGCTTTGGCTCATAGTTGACTTTTGGGCCTATGGATTGGGCCTTGGGATTGAATAAAGCCAAGCATGGGATAATGTAGTAATGACCCCAAGTACGTACTTATGGTTATGTAGTGGAACCCAATTATTAATTGAGTGTTATTTTGGTGTTGACAGTTCGAGAATCTGTCATCCAGCAGCTGGGGTTGAGTCTGCGGGACTTCAGCAGTGTGGGATTGTGTCTACGGGACTTCAGCAATGTGAGGTGAGTTACCTTCCAGTAGCGGTGGGTCTACGACCACAATGCCGGCCCACTAGTAGGAGTTGTATGTTAAATGATTGTCTTTGTGATATTCATCTAGGTTTGTTGCTACCTGTTATGTTTTATGTGCTAGCATGTTATGATGTTATGTGATAGTGGTAGTAGGGGTGAAATAGTCCCCGGTTACCGGTCGATAGGACCGAATGGGTAGTTTAGTACTCAGCCATGCTAGCTAGATTATGATACATGTGATATGATATTATGTGGTAGTAGTAGGGGGTGAAATAGTCCCCGACTACCGCTCGACAGGACCGAAGGGGTAGGCCAACACCCAGATATGCTAGGCAGTATGTGATTTATGTTTATATGCTAGGGTTTAATGTGGTAGTGGTAGGGGGTGAAATAGTCCCCAGTATCCGGTCGAGAGGCCCGAAGGGGAGGCCAGCACCCAGATATGCTAGGCAGTATCCGGTCGAGAGGACCGAAGGGGAGGCCAGCACCCAGATATGCTAGGCAGTATCCGGTCGAGAGGACCGAAGGGGAGGCCAGCACCCAGGTATGCTAGGCAGTATCCGGTCGAGAGGACCGAAGGGGTAGGTCGGGCACCCAGATATGCCTGGCAGTATGTATGATTATATGTATTTGTATGGTATGTGGTATGATGGGGGAACTCACTAAGCTTCGTGCTTACGGTTTACAGTTTTGGTTTCAGGTACTCGTTTTCAAAGGAAAGGAGTCGGCTTGATCGCAACGCATCACACTATGTTTTCCGCACATGAGATCTTTGGGATTACACTCTGATATTATTTTATGATAAAATGTTTTGGTTACTGACACTTTGGTTTGACACGAGATATTATTATGAATGTTTTTATACTGATTGTTTTATGTAATAACTTATTTAAAAATGAAATTTTTGGCCTTGAATTTTGGGATGTTACATATGAAGTGAAAATAATGGATCATAAGAACAACTACCCTCTAAAAGTAAAATAGAAACTTCAATAAGATGAAGTAAATATAAACTCGCCTCTTCACTTTGGAAAGAGGAATGGAATCAAGCATAAATGTGAAGGAATTGACCAATGAAATTTTGTTGAACAAATAGTGAACAACACATTGGTTGATCAAAACAAAGAAGATTTGAAGTGAAGTGTGATCATGAACTTATTTTAAAAATCGTGGTTAAATTAAGCTTTTGAGAGCATAACCAAACCTCATTCTAATTGTAAGTGATTCCGATGATAGAATCCTTTTTATGGGGAAAATATTTGTAAAATACAAAAAGTTGGATGTTTATAGAATAAGAAAAGAAAGAAAAGTATTTTGGTCAAAAATTAACAAACTAATTTCGTAACCAAATTAGTAAGTATGGTGTAATGTTAGAAATAGGATACTAAAGACTAGAATGTTAAAGATCTTTAAATATGTCGAAGATCTTGGTCGTGCCCTAGATCATTGGAAGAAAGAAATAATATTCAAAAAATTGTTTAATGGAATTGATTTGTTTTAAAGTATAAACAAGTGTATTAGAAATATTTGGGACAAAAATAGTGTTAAAACGATTATAAATGATTTTGCATAAGAAAGTTGTAAGTTACTAAAAAAGGTATCACAATACTACAAAATATCTTGATAAGTTGATATGAAAACATGTTAATGATTAAATTAGTATGCAAACATGTTGTAATTGATCAGATAATCATAAATAAGTAAAATCAAAGCAAGAACACACTGATGTACGAGGAAAGCCCTTAATTCTTTAGGATCTCCGACATAAAACCTCGGGAGGTGATGAAATCACATGTCTTAGAACTTGTATTAAATCAAGAATAAATTTACATGTTCTAGTTGATCTTAGAAGTAATGTGATTGTGCTCAAGTGTCAAAAGAATTAGAGAAGAAGAAGTATTGGAAGTGTTCGTGTGTGCATCAATCAACTAGTCTTTTATACATAAGAAGAGTTACTAAAACTCTGACAGTCTTAGGATTCTCCTTGATCTTTGTTTGACCCCACTTTCTCGAGAGTCTTCAATGTTCATGAGGCATTGACCATGTGTAGTTGACTTGGTCTTATTCCTTTTTCATTAAGCCTTAAGTCCCTGCATAATATATCACAAGAAATATGGTGGCAGTCCAAGATATTGAATACATCCAAGACCTTGGGCTTGTCTGGGAGGTTAATATAAGTTCAAGATGAAAATGGTAAGTCAAAATTTCTACCCACAACAATTTCCCCCATAAATCTTCAATCCAAGATCCTGGATGATTGGAGATTTCTAGCATTTAAAATGAATTATGTTGATATGACGTGGCGAATATTTCTAGGGTTAATCTTATTCATCGATTATCCTGGGAAGTTTGAATTTTGAATAGCCGAGAAATCTTCTTGAAAAAACTCTTATAAACCCATTGTATTCCTTTCTTCCTCTAGTTATTCGACGATAATCAGAGTTTTCTTGCTAGGTATCGCTCTCTTATCCCTTCTCATATTTTTCTTGTTTGTTCGATTATAGGAAAAAGACTCGTTCGAGCTAGGGCTAGATCTAAGAAACTTGTTGTCGAGGATTTCATAAATTCAGGGTTGTTGTCTGAAAGTGAAAGTAAAGTCAGTACTTTTTCAAATGTCGACATTGATTTGCTTCGATCACGAGGCAAGTTTCCACAAGGTACAATCTTTAGGGTCTCTGGGCCGAAATTAGGAACAAATTCTCTTTCTCCATCTTAGGTTTGTTTCTACAAGTTTCCTTTTTCTATTGGTCTATCCTTTCCTTTCCCTTCGTTGATTTATGAATTTTTCTGTGTATTGTGCCCAAGTCATTCCATTTACTTGGCGTGTTTTGTTTTGGATTCACCATCTTAATGAAACTGAAGGTTTGAACCTTGGGCTATCCAAATAAGAAGCGTCTATAAACTCCAAACTTTTGATTATTCTCATGTGATTCTCAAAGTGAAGACCGGTAGTTCTCATCTAGTCTTAAAAAGTTCTCCTATGGATCATGACTGGAAAGGGAGATACTTTTTCGTTAAGAATGTTCCCTTGGACGAGACCTTCCTTCCCAAGATTGGCTAACTGAGGGTAGGGATTCTAAATTTTGGGTGTTTTTACTTTGTGTTCTTATTTAAAACATATTTTCTTCTTCTATTCATGGGCAGTTATGAAGTTCGTCGAAATTTTCCGTTCTTAAGAGGACACTGAAGAGAAGGTTCGAGATTTCTGGAGCTTTCAGTGGAAAAAAGAAGATTTTGAGTGGTAGAAGCTTCCCATTTAGGGAATTTTAGCTCATCCATTGCGATCGAAGATCCAAAATCAAGAATGTTGCGATATATCTTTATTTATATTATTCCTATGTTGGATGACAATATTGTCTTTTTCTTAGGTGCAAGGCAGACTCGTTCAGGTGCTCTCCTCAGGTCTCCTTTCAATATGGATGACTTCCTCTCCACACATCCTGTCGTGAAAGTCAAGAAATCTACCACTGTAGGTGCAAGAAAACTGGAAATCAAGGCAAAAAAATCATGATCCCAAGAAGAGGAAATTCACTTTAGAGGTGGGTTAAGAAGTGTTTGAAGGGCTCAATCCTTTCAAGGTCAAGCAGAAAGTGTTCATGCTAGTTCAGTCTGTAAGTTTTCTGTTCTCCCTTCTTATGCATTTCAATAATGTTTTCTCACTATAGTTCTTGGGTTCCAGGCCACTACTTTAAATCTGAAGGATGCTGAAGAACTTAAGAAGGAATTTGAGGCCACTAAGAAAGAGTTTGAGTTGGATATGAAGTGGAAGGACAAGGAGCTTGCATTGAATGTGAAGGAACTTGCTAGAAAGAAAGAATAGTTAGAGAGAATGACTAAGGAAGGGGATGAATTGAAGGATCAAATGGACGACATCGAGAACAAAGCTAAAACATTAACAATGGTCTCGATTTTGGAAGCTAGGTTGAAAATGGTGGAGGATGTTCAGAAGAATAGAGTTGATTCCTGGGATAAGACCAAGTTAGAGCAGGCTCTGAAGAAGTTTAAGGGTGGGGAACATGTTAGTGAGAAGGTTGGAGAGGAGAATGTTGAGGACCAGGATGTTGAGGGTTCGAAGAAAGGAGATGACATGGCTTCTTGATATGTTTTAATTTGTTGTTTGTTAGGTACATGAACAATTATTTTGCTCTATGTTTTAAGACAATTTGGCTTGTAGTGGATGTTTTCTGAACTACGGTATGATTGCAAAGTCTAGAAGACAAGCCTCTATAATAATAACCATGTGCCTACAACGAAGTGCATATATTCTTTTAGTTTCTATTAGCATATTATGAATTGTGACAATTAAGTTCTCGATTTGTTAACGATTGACAAATAAGCCTTTCATTTATAATGATCTATCTCCCAAAGTGTTTGTAAAATGCGGATTATTCATTTAAAGGAGAAGTTCACAACAATACATGAAGCTATGAAGCTAGTCAAAACATGTTATTAGTAATAGTACGACACATGATGAAAATTTAGAGTGAACAATAAATTGATGACCACTCTATTGATTAATGTAAAAGGGTAAGTTCATGTGGTCATGACTATTTATCATGTGTAGTTAGCTGTCAATTTTTTTATTATTAAAAACTTATAATTTGAAAAATAATTTTAATTTGGATTAAAATTAAGGTTTTACAACGAATAAGTTTGAAAATTATTGTATGACACGAGCACACCTTTGTCTCATAATATAAAATATCCAACCCAAATTCACACTTGCTATAATGTGTAAATATGACAAGAAAAGAGATTAACAAACCAACATTGATTTAAGAAAAAAGTTGTGATGTACAATTGATGCTAGATGGTAAGCAACATAGTTTCACTATCTACCATCTAATATCGAGATTGTGATTCCATTTACGGTAATTGAATCATCACCGTTGTTTGAAGATTCTGTCTTATTGTTTATTTTTCTAGTAAATAATCCAGGGTGTTTTGGTTGTGGAATTTGTACAGTTTCATTGCTCAATAGTATCAACACCTTCGACATGCTAGGCCGATCTTCCGGTTGTCCTTGAACGCATAACAGGCCAACTTGTATGCATCTCAAAACTTCATTCTTTGAAAATTTGGCCCCAAGAGATTCGTCTAGTAGTTCTAAAGCATTTCCTTCGTTCCATATCTTCCATGCCTAAAAGTATTGTTTTGTCACAAATATAACAATTTAATAATACAAAGACCTATATGAAATTAATTGCAAGTATATGGGTATTCTTTTAGAAAAAATATGATATTATAATTATTTTGATAGCTTTGAATATGTCACTGCTTGTACTTACTTGTGCAAGAAGGTTAAGTTTGTTACTCGTGTTGGATGATCCTCTGTTCCTTTTACCGCTTACTATCTCAAGAATCAAAACTCCGAAACTAAAAACGTCTGATTTCGTTGAGAAATGACCATCCATCGCATATTCGGGTGACATATAACCGCTAGAAGAAAATTGACAAAAAAATAATAAGAAACAATAAAACCTTCTAAAATACAGGGTATATCATTAATTATGTGTCACATATATTTTAACTTATGCATAAATACAAAGATACTTACTATGTTCCAACCACTATCTTTGTTTCTGCTTATGTCTGATCATTCCCGAAAATCCTCGCGATACCAAAATCTGATATCTTTGGGTTCATCTCCTTATCAAGCAAAATATTACTTGCTTTCATATCTCGATGGACGATTGTAACTCTTGAATCTTGATGAAGATAAAGAAGCCCCCGTGAAATCCCGCGTATAATCTCGAGTCGGATTTTCCAATTTAGTTTCATGCTTTTCTCTTTCTCTATGATGATTTTCAAAGAAAACCGTTTGATTTCAACAACATAAAATTAGGCGTCCAAAGAAATATAAATCAATGCCCGTGAAACTTACCAAAGAGAAACATATCGAGACTTTTATTTTCCATGAACTCATAAACCAACAACTTCTCTTCGACCTCAATGCAACAACCTAATACTCGAACAAGGTTTCGATGTTGGAGTTTCGCGATTAATCGAACTTCATTTTTAAGTTCCTCAATCCCTTGGTCGCAAACTCTCGAGAGTCTTTTTACTGCTACAACCTCACCTTCCGTTAATGTACCCTATATCACCAAATATAATGATGTCACTTTTTATGCCCACATGCCTATTACCTCGTACGACGGTTTAAATACAAGTGTTGAAAACATATATTCAATTTTAAATATTTCAATATCTGAATTTTTGGATACAGATCTTTGTGTGTGTCTATATATAGATATATATATATATATATATATATATATATATATATATATATATATATATATATATATATATATATAAATCGCAGCATTTTAAACAAACTCGCTAAAAAGAATAAAAAATGATTTTTTTTCTATTTTTTTTTCAAAAAACGTTTCTACGATTTTGTATAAAAAGTTGCAATTTTTAGGTTTGTAAAGTAAAAAAAAATAGATATCTCAAGGGTTTTTATAGTTTAGTCGTTTTCTAGTGATCCTCCCACTATATATATAATAACTATAGTATTTCGTCACCCGCGAAACGCAGCGGATAACTCATTTGCAAAGTAGACCACAAAAATGTAACATAAAGTTTTGATACAAACAATTATGGTTGAAAGAGACGGACAAAAATAAAGTTTGAAAATGTATCGTGATTCGTCCAATACACAAATAATAGTTAATTAAAACATTATAATAATAAAAAGTAATATAATAAAAATAAAAACTATGAAAACAAATTATGTAAGGGACCAAAAGTATAATTTTAAAATGTAATAAATGACCAAAATTACAACTTATAACATACCAATAATTTAATTTTAAAATTATGATGGATAAAAACTATTATATTAAAATTAATTTAGTCGTAAAAAATATAAAAGAAAATAAAGTTTAGATTTGGAATAAAAATAAAATGAACAACGCCCATCTAAGACCATCTCCAACTCACTTTTTTTTTTTGCCAAAAATGGAGTAAAAAATAGGGTAAATTGTGTTTCATTTCCAACCATACTCCATTTTTACCCCATTTTTACCCCAAAAAAAATATATTCATAATATTTTTCATTATTCCAACTTCTATAGATTGTCAAACACACTCATTTTACTAATTTGGTTTTAACAAATATATAATCTATATTTTATTATTACAACAATATTAAATAAATAAAATTATATTTATAACACTTAAATATAAGCTTTTGTAAAATACTTATCGCGTTTTAAAATTCCAGTATGTATTTAAATTTTTATATGAATTTGATGAAAAAAAAACAAACTTAATATTTATAATTAATTAACACAATTTAATATATAGCAAAATATTATAAGTATTAAATATTACATTTAAATTATAATTAGTGGATAAAAATAAACTATAAATATATAAATATGATGTTATACTATTCATTTCTCCTAAAATAAGGAAATAAACGTGGTAGGGTTGGAGAGGAATGGATGAAAAATGAAAAATAGTAGTGAGTTGGAGATGTTCTATAGTAACGCAATCATTTGTAGTGTGTGTCTATATATATATATATATATATATATATATATATATATATATATATATATATATATATATATATATATATATATTCACACAACCTTATTGCATTCTAGTTGTGTACACTTTAAAAATGAACAACATTGCACCTTTATTGTAGAGTACTAACGGATCATTTTAATATATAGAGATTTTTGTCCAATTAAAGATGTAGTTGAAATTAAAAATTAAAAATATATATTTTCAATTCTTGTATAATCCGAGTATCCAAAATTTTGAAAAATCACGATTTGTATTTTCAGATTATTTAAGAGCAGATTTTTATAGTTTTGGATGTGGTTTTTGAAATCGTTATCTTTGAAAACAAGTAATTTTAAGTTTTCATATATTACAAACACTTAACCTTGTAAACACACCCGAAGCCACCCTGCCCAATTTTATTTGTGTCTGAGAAGTTGTTTGTAGCCACCGCCAGTGTTGTAAAATCAAACAATGGTAATTCGAGTTCATCAATGAATGTCTCGTTAAGAGAATCTCTCCTATTTGGCGGAATAACCCCATCATTTAATATGATGTCTTCTGGACCTAATTTGGATCATAGCAAAATCTATCAGACATATAGAAATCAATATGATAATCAATACATCTTGACTTTAAATATTCAAACTTTGTATTAATTTCAATGCTATACTATCAATATTATTTTAATGGTACATGCATATTTTAAAATTATAAATTAAGGTGTGTAACTCTAAATAGCAAAAAAAAAAAAAAATACCTTGTCTATTTTCCAAGGATTGTGTTTTCTTCCTCTTCAAGTAGAAGAGTATCAGTAGACATATGAGCATAGCAAAAGCACCAATGCTAATTCCTACAATCTTGCCAACTCTGGTATTTGGTGGTGGTGGTGGTGGTGATGATGATGGTGGTGGTGGTGGTGGTGGTTCATCTGCAATGAACAATCTTTTAATACATTATGGTATCTATAATATTGATTCATTAGATACAAATAATTGAAGTATTATTTGTCCACAAATACAAACATGTGTGAAATAGATAGTTTAATAAAAACATCTCATTTTAACATGTATACACCATAAGGTATAAGATGAAGAGACAAAATAGACTCTAGTATATTTGATATGTAGTGGACTAACTATGGGATGTGTTGATAGGACAAAAAGTTATAACTTATGTACGTCATTGTTTTATCTTAGGGTTTAGGGAACGCAAACTCTACATGTGATGTCTAGAGATATATATGTTGGAGACGAAGTTTGACAAATGCAGATTTATTGGATATCCTAATGAAACCAAGAAATTCTACTTTTACAATCTGACTGAAGTGTCTTTTGGAGAAAGACTTTATAGCTAAAAAGACACTCATAGAAAAGTGATACTTGAAGAAATTCAAGAGACACAAAGTATTCAACCTTCTAGTGAACAAACATCTCATCGAGAAAGAATGTAAGATCAAATTAGTATGTTGGTTGCATGTTATTTTTTATCTAGCATGTTGATAGGTTTTTGAATAATTTTTTGTTGTTCCAAAAAGAGATCCCAACAAACTATTGTTGAGGTGCCATCTGAAACACTAGAACCTTACAGGTCTGGTAGAGCTCGTTATGAACATGATAGATAAAGAGTTGTTGTTGCTAATAAAGAAGGGATAACACTTGACCTATATGAACCAACCAACTACTAAGAACTTGTGTGATAATTGTAATTCAAATAAATGGCTTATTGAGATGGAATTTGAGATCAAATCCATGTACGACAACCAATAACATGACTTATTTGATAAACCTCCTAATAGCGACACTATTAGGTATAAATGAGTCTTCAAGAGAAAGATTGGAATAGATGGAAATCTAAATACCCATAAAGAGAGCCATTAAAAGATGTTCCTAAAATAAATGGCCATGGATAGCTAAAGCACGATTAAAAGCTAGAAGCTACAAACGAACTCATAAAATCGATTATGATGGAACATTTTCTAAAATGTCATTGTTTAATTTAGTTAGTCTATTTGCACATATTTAATTATGAGAATCACAGATGGATAACTAAACCATCGTCCTAATAACTTAGTACATAATGTGTATATCATAATAGGGTGTGTAAGCATAATAGATCCCTCTATGGATTAAGTAATCATCTCAAATTCAAAATCTATGTTTTTCGAAGTATTGAGGAATTTGGTTTTTACCAATAGTGTAAACGAGCCATGTGTTTATAAGAAGGTATGTGGGAGTTTTATAATATTTTTGGTATTATATGTAAAGGAGATACTACTCATTTGGACTTTGTCAAAGGCTTGGATGCAGAAGTTGTTAGAAATGGATGTCCAATGTCATAAGTAATTGATATAACTTTGGGAATAATAACAAAGTCCATTTAGGGTTGCCCTCAAGAGCTAAAATAGCCAGAGAAAGGTTTAAGAGAGTGAGATAAATAAGTTTATTAAGTTATCATGGCTTGATAATTTAATTAGAAACTTGTTAAAATGAATTTAGAATTAATTTGAATTAATTTGGAATTAATTGGATTAATTAGGAAATGATTTAAATGTACATGGACTGAAAATTAATTGTTTAATAGTTGAGCAATTAGAATATTTTGGAACCCCTTAAGGGCGGATGGTTTTGAGAAGGGTTAGAAACCTTCTAGAAAATCGTCCATAGTTGCTAATAAGGCAGCTATTTAAATTAGGATTAAATATGATTATTTAATTAATTCAAATATGCTTTCTCTGCAAGTTTTCTCAGCTATAAATAGACCCTTTGAGCCTTCATAATTTCCGTTCCTCTCTCCTAGCATTATCAGAATACGAGTTATGCTATCTTTTCTCTCATCTCTCATTGATTTCTACTGTTTAGACTTTTGGATGTGATTCTTTAGAGGCACTCTACTTTGGGTGCTAGATTTTCCAAAGAGTATCAAAGAATTCAAGATTTACAATTGTTCTAGAAGCAAATCTGATTTTGCTTAAAGGTTAGTAATTTTATCCCTCTTGTAGAATTAATTTTGTAGCTTTGAAAGTAGGTAGTTATAATAGTAAAAGCTAGATCTAGGGTGTATATACACTAAGGGTTATTATTAATTGCTTATGTTTCCAAAAATAGGTGCTTACAAAACTCAACAATGGTATCAGAGCCATTAGGTTTTAGCTATGAGCACTACTTGAAAAAAAGTATGAAAATGGAAAGAAACCTGCTAATCACAGAACACAGAGTGCCCATTGATGGATGCAACACGCCCTTTGTTGATTTGTAAATTTGGGTTTTAGCCTATAATTTCGAATTTTAGGATTTATCTCTAAATTTAAATATTGTTTTAATCCGTTAAACCTGAATAATTAAACTATGATGATAAATATGCCTAAGTAATTTGAAATTATAGATAATTGATTTAAAATAATTAATTAAATATAATATGCTTAAATCATGTATTTTTAAAATTTTAAAATATACCTTACATATAATTATTATTGATTATATATAATATATGTAAAACTAAAATATTAAATTTATATATGTAATATGATTACTATATGTATAAAAATCATACATGTGTCCTCACATGTTTGATTCTACATTGTTAGTCGAATCAAGAGTAGGTCTCATTCATGAGACCATGTTGTAAGAGATGTATAAGGAAACGGCCTATAAAATGACCGTTGAATGAGTGTCATTTTCACTCACTATTTCTTTGTGTGGTTGATTGTGATTATCTGAAAGGGTTTGATAGGATCAGGTCTCGTTACAAGTATATCTTATAAAGTACTAAAAAAAATTCTTATCTTAGTTATTTTAGGAAAATTTGAATAGTTGCTAACCCATAAAAATGCACATTATTCCTTATTGTTTATTTATAGAGAGTGTGGTTAACCAACACATAAATTTGAGACGTAAGAAGAATATGATGTGGCACTTATGGTTATGGTTTGTTGGTAGAGTGTGTGTCGTTAACCGGCACGCCGATTAGTAAACCATAACATAATCAAGCAGTCACACATTTTTGCATAGTTGGTTCACCATCTTATTTGTGAGATCTCGGTATCCCAGACACAAATAAAGGATGTGCAAATCCGATATTAACATGACATTAAATAGTTTTAATGAATCTCAAACGATCTAGGAGTTTCATGGAGGTTGAAACTAGCAAAATACAGTGCCTAACTAAATAACCGTGTGGTGTGTTGAAGACATCCCTTTACACATCGCAAAGCCAAATATGGATCCTAACCTTATTAAATAATAAATTAGGGTTGAAAATTTTATTTAAAGGATTAATCAAACACACAAGAATGGATTTAATATTGTTAAATGTCTACAAGATAATCCACTAAAATCTCCTGCTATATTGGCTATATTGTTAGGAGAACCCAAAATACGTGAAATCTCAAAGAAACTTGAAATAGTTCATTTATGTATGTTTATCAACTAAAGGAACGAACATGAATGAAAATGAACACGCTAAATTTTTTAAGGAACAAACACAAATAAACAAAATGTGTTCGTTTAAATGTACGTGTTCGTTCGTTTATCGTTTAAATGTACGTGTTCGTTCGTTTATCGTTTAAAGTTAAATGCACGAACACGATCAAGCCTCAATTGTGTCCGTTCAGTTCGTTTACATGTTCGGTTCTACTACAGCCCTATAGATGTCACTCACTTAAGTGTTGCTACGATCATACTTAAGCATTACAAAGGACTAAGGGTGCGTTCATATAACAATTTGGCGATTCAAACTCTCAGTCATTTTGTACTTTTACATGAACGGTGGAAGTGTCAGTGTTTTAAAAACCAATTTTCTAGTTGAACCAGAATGAACACACTAAGTTTTTAGTGGAAGTGTCACTGTATATGTGTTCGTTTTTTTGTGTGTGTGTTTATGTCAATTTAAGCTCATTTTGTTTGTTTACTAAGTTATGTTTGTTTAAGTTTGTTCGTGTTTGTGTTTGCTTCTGTTCGTTTGTATGCATATATGTTCATTTATGTCTGTTTATCAACTAAAGTAACAAACATGAATGAACATGAACACACTAGATTTCTTAAGGAACAAACACAAACAAAAAAGTGTGTTCGTTTATCGTTTAAATTTAAACGAACGAACACGATCAAGCCTCAATAGTGTTCGTTAGGTTCGTTTACATGTTCGGTTCTACTACAACCCTATAGATGTAGCTCACTTAAATGTTGCTACGATCATATTTAAGCATTACAAAGGACTAAGGGTGCGTTCATACAAAAGTTTGGCGATTCAAAGTCTCACAGTGACTGGTTTATATTTTTGCATGAATGATGGAAGAGTCAATGTTTTAAAAACAAGTTTTTTAGTTGAACCGGTCTAGTAATCGGTTTCCATTTCAACATGTTCGACCATTGGTTCAATTGGTTCCACCGTCAGTCTACATCTACCAATGGTGTGCGTCAAAATTCTAGTTATGTACACTCCGGATAATCTAATCGATCGAGTTATTCAATTTTCTTTGGAAATGAATTGTTCTTTAATAGGCTAAGTTAAATCAATTATCTAAGGTTTAAACGATTTTTTATCACATCAGTTCAACCTAGTTTTTAAAGAAACCGTCCGATTTAATCCGGTTTAGAGCTTAAAATAAAATCGATTGTTGTTGAACTGTTTTCATCCCCAATTTCCGGTCTGACCGACTCAACCGGCCGGTTCGAATCGCTAGGAAGTGTGAGCTTTAAATGTTCAAATTTATTCAAAATTTTAAAAACGAACTACAAGGATTATTATTACCTAAATTGCGACCCAAAAACAATTATCGGACAAAATATAAAAGTTAAAACTTTAATTATCGGCCAAATAGAAAAAAAAAACTTAAACATGAAATTTAATACGACTTTTTGATTGTTCTCTTGGATTTCAGATGCAATAACACTCAATTTTGAGTATCTTAATCAGACCAAACTAAAGAGAACAACCGTGATTCGGGTTGTTTCTTTCTCGACAATGAAGCTTATTTCCCATGGGTTTATTTGTTCCCCACCCATGGCATACATACGTTTCTTCTACCCCAATTTTTTATAATAACCCTTCTACTTTGACTATTTCTTTTCTTATTATAAACTTAGTTTCTGTATGTTAAGCTATGTTTGGCGTAATAATTGAAAAGTTAGTTGATAAAAATGATGTTTGGTAAAAGAACTATCTGAAAAATTAGTTGAAATATATAAAATAACATTTAGGAAAATATGTTATTTATATATAATTAAAGTATATTTTAAAAAATATATATGTAATTAGTTTTTTAAAAAACTAGTTTATAAACTACTTATTAGTTTGTCAAATATAAAAAACTGAAAAAGTTCAAAAATAAGTTAATTTATCAGCTAACTGTGGTACGCTAAACACAACCTTAATGATTTTAGTGTTTACCATATCACAACTTTTAATTTTTCTAAAATTATTCATACACTTGTTTAAATGTTTAATAAAATGCTGTTGTTGATATATATATATATATATATATATATATATATATATATATATATATATATATATATATTATATAATATATATATATAATATATGATTTAGATTCTATGGAAAACAAAAAAACCCTAAAAATCAGAGGAAAAAAATGCATAAAAAAATACTAGAGATCACAAAAAAATAATTTTGAATTTTTTTTTATAAAAAAATCGCATGTTTTTTAAAATTCGCTGAAAAAAAAAAAATCATAAAAAAAATTTTTTTTTTCAAAATTTTTTTCACGATTTGTATATAAAAAAGCTGCGATTTTTTCAAAAAAATTTTCAAAAAAACACGTTTGTGATCTCTAAGTATTTTTATGCATTTTATGATTTTAGGGTTTGTTTGTTTTCCAAATAACCCTATATATTCTATATATAGAGATATATATATATATATATATATATATATAATATATAGATATATTATATATATTTATATAGATATAATCTATATATATTAGACAAAACTATAAAAATGGTCTATGTGGTATGTATTTTTCAAGGAAAAGGTCCAAACCCTAATTTTTTAGATTTTTTTTTGGATTGATAATCTTTTTTGTGAATGCTTTTATATTGTTCTGATGTCTCCCAAAATTGAAATGACTAACTTGCTCTTATATAATTTCTTTTTTCATTTTTTTATTACACAAGTAGGTATAAAACTCATGTATTAAATGAGTTTATTTAAATGAAAAATTAAATATGAAATTCTAAGCATTTAAAAGTTTGAATTTATAAGAAAATTAGAAAAATATTGAATTATTAAAATTAATATGTTTTTTATATTTTAAATTTAAACAAATAATTTAGATAAACAAACAAAAGAAACTAATGAAGTTTTAATTTATAAATTTTAAAATTTAAAAGTAAGTCATTTTAATGAAATTGTATGCATTTATTATACACTTTTGTAATTATATATGTAATATTATGGGATATTTGATTGAAAATGAAAAAAAAAAAAAACAAACCACAAAATGTCATGTGGGAAAAATTTAATTGAAAATAACCATAAAATGACATGTGGCAAAATCAATGGGTGTGACATGTGGCAAAATGGATCTTCATTTATTAGAGTAGATTATTGTAAATATTACATTTAAATATTATGTGGAATTTGATAAAATAAAAAAAATATATTCACAAAATGCCATGTGGAAAAAAATTTAATTGAAAATAATCATAAAATTACATGTGGCCAAATCAATGAGAGTGTGACGTGTGGCAAAATGAATCTTCATTTATTACAGTAGATTATTATAAATATTACATTTAAATATTATGTGGAATTTGATAAAATAAAAAAAAAATATATTCACAAAAATGCCATGTGGAAAAAAATTTAATTGAAAATAACCATAAAATAACATGTGGTAAAATGGATCTTCATTTATTAGAGTAGATTAAAAAACAAACAAAAATAAAATACATTCCTAACCCCCATTTTTCCCCATAACCAGTTACCTCTCTCTCTCTCTCTCTCTCTCTCTCTCCCCCCCCCCCCCCCCCAAAAAAAAATAAGAAACAACCACCATCTTCGTCTCCCGTCGTGATTCCTGGTCTAAAGCTCCCCCCTAAATCCCGATTCTCGAGAGAGAGCAGATCAGAGCTGAGAGACGATTGAAGAGCGAGAGCGAGAGAGACGAGAGAGAGAGAGAGAGAGAGAGAGAGATGACAAAAGGCATGGCGGCGGGCGGTGGGTCTTATACTGAATCCTAAATCCCACCATTTCTCCGATTTGGAAAAATCCTACGATCTAAAACTATCAAACCATAAATTAAAAAAAAAAAAAAAAAAAAAAAAAAAAAAAAACATGAAGAAACTGTATGTCAAGCGTATGTGGGGTTGATCTCGACATCACATACCCTCTGCCCAGTCATTGTTATGAAGCTTGAAGGACAAATGGAAGCAAAACACAACTCTCACCGTTAAATTAATGGGCAAGAAATCGATTCTGGAATGAGTTTTCTTATGTTGAATTGGTGAAGTGGGGTGGCATGGGGTGGGTATGTTGGCGTATTTTCTTTATTTAATAATAGTAAATACTTATAGAAAAAAATAGAAAATAAATATAATAAAGCAATTTTGTTATTTCAATCTTAGAAACATATTTGGACTAATAATTCAAAACTTTGTAGTTTGGAGTATTTTCTTAAAAAAAATACATACCACAAAGACCATTTAAAAAAAAATGAATGCCTTAGAGACTTGCACTGTACAAACTATTAATGCAGGAATCATTATAGATTTTTGGATTGATTTAGAAACGTACCCAAATCAGAAGCTGCAACTCTAACGTAAAGATCATCTCCACCATTATCCGAATCAGCATACTGCCTCATATCGATGAGATCCCCTTCCCAAATCACACAACCCGACCCGCCTTCAGTGACATCCATATTAGCATAAGCAGCACAAGAACAATTCGTTTTGCAAATCTCACCACACTTTTTCAAATTTATCGTCTGATCTAAAAAAGCTTTCGAAGTCTCCGGCAGTTTCATGTTCTTCAATAGCTTAAATCCATCCGACCTGCAATCCAAACTGGAGTTTCTAACACACCCATCCAACCCAACTCGGAGATCCCATGCTTGTTTGTTCTTCGGATGGAATCCAGTCATACAACTGCAGATCGGTGCAGGGTTTGCAGTACAAATGCCAGACGGACCACATTCACCAAAGTGGTCGCAATTACCGGGGAAAGACCAGTACACGCTCCAGGTTTTTGTTGTGTCAGCCCAAACCAATCTTTGATTCACACCAGAAGAAAATACAACCAATCGCGAATAATTGAACTATTCACCAATTTAAATGAATAATAAATCTCATCTGAATTATCTTCAACGTCAAACTGCATTATACTCCTCCCTTTTATCTCCGGTACACCACTAAACCTTCTTCCAGTCCACGGTCCACTCCGACGAATTAACGTTTCCTTGCGCATAAGCAAAATCTCCGGGAACTGACGAACAGTGAATATAAGAGAATAATCACCAGTTGCTGGATCTACGTTGTTCGTCTTCCATGACCTCAAAATCCGAGTAATTCCAGATTTCCTGTCCCACCCAAGTTTCATCTCCGGCAATAGAGTATCAGTCGGATAATCAAAGCTTTGCCAAATATAATTTTCTGGACTCTCATCGTTTTTCCGGACGAAGCACAAAGTTACCGGTGTCCAAAAGCTGCGCCACCGTGTTCCCCACCCGTGTAGGTTGATTTGTCGACCAGACGATGGTTCCCGTCTGATTTACAAGCACCATGTTGCCGTTGCTGATGATGGTTAGGTTCCCGGAGGATGAAGTAATGGGGGTGTCTCTATTAGCTACCCAAACATATGTTTTCTGCTGAATTTGCTTGTACCAAATGCCTATATATAAATTATTGTTGCCTGGATTGAAGAACCCCAACTCAAAATGTTCACCTTTAGAAACTAGAGTTTGATTGATGGTAAGTGGCTGTGAGAATGTGATGGTGTCAACAGCTAGAGAGTGAAAAGGGTACAAGAGTGACAAGATGAAGATGAAGATGGAGGTGCTGACATGGCTATGGAGGGTTTTTCATTCTTTGAAAGTTACAGATTAACACTAACAAATTTTTATGTTCATTGATTTGTGTGATTGGATGTTATATGAACGTTGTCAACTTCAAAAAATTCGTGGAGATGGTGTTTATATTTTATAATTCTTGAATCCAGTTTGATCAGTTGACTTTCGAATAAAACTTGATTAATAATTTACGGAAATTATATGGTAAGTACCTCAAGAAGTCAAGAGCAATGGCAAGTAAACTAATGTGGATAACTAGGGACAGACTTAGAAACGGTCAAATTGGGAAAAAAGAAATACTACTAAAAATACTAATGTATATACATACTTATTAGTCGAATTACCAACTCTATTTATTTAGGTAAAAAGATATATAAATAACAAATAATTTAAAATAAAGTTAGTAAAAAAAACATTCAGACATTGAGTACTTTCATTAGAATATTATTTGAACAATAAATATGGCCCATTTGAAAACATGCTTTATTGGAGGAAAAAAAAAATCCAAATCTATACCGAAGCTCTCCATTAAAGTCTTATTATTTTATCATAATTTACGAAAAAGTCTCAAACTAAAATTTATTTACGAAAAAACATAAATTACTGGTAAAAGTGGTTATTTGATACATTACAGACCTATATGCATCAAAGTCTCATTATTTTACCATAATTTACGAATAAGCCCTAAACTAAAATTTGTTTACGAAAAAAAACATAAACTACCGGTAAAGTGATGATTTGACCATTTTCTCCTATAATACACATTTTACCGGTTTTATTGCTAACCTAAACGCATAATCATTAAATGAGCTGATGAGATGGATAGATTGGATTATGTAATGATATGTCTATCGTAAAACTTGATATCCTTTTGCATTGTATTTTTTTTTTGGAATATCAAAATGAATCCAACAAATACTATAATAATTACATAAACTAGCAATAACTTATCCTATAACACACATTTTACCGGTTTTATTGCTGACTTAAACACATAATCATTAAATTAGCTGATGAGATGGATAGATTTGATTAAGTTATAAGAAATTTCAAATGAGAAAAGGCATGTTTTTTCGTAAATAAATTTTAGTTTGAGACTTATTCGTAAATTAGGGTAAAATAATGAGACTTTATTGCGTCCATGTCAGCAAGGAAACCAATAAACCAGGAAAAAATAGTCAAATCGTCACTTTTACCGGTAATTCATGTTTTATCGTAAATAATTTTAGTTTGGGACTTATTCATAGATTAAGGTAAAATAATGGGACTTTAATGGAGATTTCTCATTAAAAAAAGAATATTTTTTCTATTTTGGTCTCATTTAATCTTTTTTTATGGATTTGGTACAAATCAAAATTTTAAGGGTAATTTGTAAAAAAATCCTATTATTTTGAAAAATTAAGGACTAAGTCATTAATTTTATTTAATAAAAGAGCCCATAAACCAGATAAATCGTTCACTTTAACCTATTATACCTGGTAACCCTCATTTAACTGGTTACCCTTGTTGATGTGGTCATTAGTTGGGGATTGTGTATGTTAACCTCATTAATTTAGGTTTTTTAAAAGAAAATCCATTTGTCTCTTTTTCATCCAACATTTTCTTCCTAACATTCCCTCATTTCATCCTAAGCTTTTGTCGATGGATGAACTATTTGAGTCGGACACCATCGACGTTCAACTTGATGAGTATTTCAAAAGAAAACCTATTTCAAGACGCAAAGATGAGTTTCTAATGCTCTGCATGATGAGATTAATGATGAAGCGCATTTAGCTGAAGTAGACCATCATGAAGTGGACTTGGATGAGAAGTAGATGATGAGGAAGATAGTGAGGAAGATAGATTCTAGTATGTCACCCATGATCCGAAGGCCAGATGAAATGTTATGACACCAGTGTGTGGAGAAAAGTATGAATTCATACGTCATCTAAAACTATGTTTAACAAATCGTTCCATCTATAAGGGTTTTCAAATTCGTTTCAAGAAGTGTGATAAGGTTAGATTAGTGGTTGTATACTTGTATATGAAAGTGATCTAGAAAATTTCCCTTTCATGGTTAGGGCTTCATGGATGAGTACTGAAAAATCATTCCAGGTAAAGAAGACGAATGACATGCATATATGTGTTAGGAATTTTAATAATTCAACACTTATGAATCCAACTTGGTTAGCAAAGAAATTTGTGAAAGAATTGATAACTAAACCAAGCTTAAAAAAGGAAATATAGGAAATTATACAAAGTAAATTTCACTACAAGGTCTCATGGTCAAAGTGCTATAAAGCAAGGTGTAGGGCACTGTCCTTAGTTAATGGCAAATTGAGTAACCATTACGCGAGAGTGTGGGATTACAAACATAAGTTGATGAGGTCCAATCCAAGCAGTATAGTTAGGATTTATGTTAACCTTAACCCTGATACAAATTTTCATAGAATATATATTTGTTTTTAAAACAATCAAAGAGGGATGGAAAAGAGGATGTCGAATGGTAATAGGCATGGGTGATTGTTTCTTAAAGGGACAATGTAAGGGTGAGCTAATAACTTCAATAGGTAGAGATGAAAACAATCAAGTTTACCCTATAACATGGGATGTTATTGAGGTTGAAAACAAGGTTAATTGAAAATGGTTCTTAGAACTAGTTACTGAAGACCATTCATTAGAGGATGGTAGGGGATTAAGTGTCATCAGTGACCAACACAAGGTAATAACAATGATTCCATTATTTACTTATCATTTATAACACTTTCTAATAACAATTACTAATTTACTTTTTCATATGCTAGGGTCTTCTTGAAGCTACAAAGGATCCTAATTGTCAAAGTACACTACAAAGGAGATCATGGACTGTATCATAATCAATGAAGCAAAATTACAAGAGTTTGAAGGTGTAAAATAAGTACATATGGATCTTGATATGTTTGTAGTATGCTTTCTCATTCTTCATGTTATGTAATATGCATCACTTATGGTGTTTAATCTACTAACTATTCATTGTTATGCTTATTACATGATATATGAATAGATAGCCAAATTACAATTGAAGGAGTCCCTGAAACTCATTCATTTAGGGATGAGGAAAGGATAGATGAGAAGAGCATGGATATGGAAAACATGACATAATCTCCACTTTCTTGTACTAAGATATTTAATAAAGCAAAAGTAATAAAGAAATAGAATAAAATGTTGTACAATTGTAGATGGTTCCTAACCTACTTGCACTATCTACCATGTAATATTGATACCGTGATTTCGTTTATGCTCCTTGAATCATCTTGTATTCTAGAAAATTCTGTTTCAGTGTTCCTTTTTCTAATAAAGAATCCAGGATATTTTGGTAGTGATATTTGTGCGATTTCACTGGACAGTAGCAACAATATATTTGACATGTTAGGTCTATCTTCCGGATGTTCTTGAACACATAACAATCCAATTTGTATGCATCTTAATACTTCGTTCTCAAAAATATTGGCCCTGATAGATTCATCTAGTAGTTCTAAAGCGTTGCCTTCGTTCCATAACGTCCATGTCTAAAATCGTTGTAATCGTTACATATAAGATAATATCAAGAAATGGTTAGAATTTCTTAATCTATCATAGTTAAGGTATGTTTGATATGATGAAATAAAATTAACAAAGCAAGGGAATGAACAATGTAATTTAATGAGTCGTTATATTATATTGTCATGTTTATTAGTTTAAACGAAAGCAACAAATTATTAGAAAATTAATATTAAAAAATTAAAAATATATGAAAGAAAAAATTACATATGAACATATTTCATAACATTTGAAATATATAATAAATATTTCATACAGTGGAAAGTAATTAATCTTTAAAGGCTTGTTTATAAAATAAAACAAAATCAAAATTGAGTATAATGAAAGTAAAGTAAAATTATAATCAAAGTCGATTCTTAATCTTTATAAAATAACAAAAGTTAACTTAGTTAAAGTTTGATTTTTTTTTTAAATATTACTGAATTTTATAAAGTAGTTATATAATAAATCATTTCATTCCATTAAAAAGGAAATGGAAAGAACAGATCTCTCCAAATGAATGAAAATTGCCTAAAGATAAATAATCACAATCATCAAAGAAAGCTCAGATTCATTTGTACATAAGGATAAACAAACAAGATCTATTTAATGCCACATAATGCTTCATTTTATTCCTTTTGTATTACTATAATTCAAACACTATCTTAATACTTACTTGTCTCAGAAGGTTGTGTTGACTACTTGTATAACATGATCCGGTGTTCTTTTTACCGCTTACTATCTCGAGAACCAAAACTCCAAAACTGAACACATCTGATTTTGTTGAAAAATGCCCATCCATTGCATATTCAGGTGACATATAACCGCTACAAGAAATTTGAGAAATATAATAAGTCTAAAACTACAATGATATTAGTTTGCATAAATAGATTGTTACTTACTATGTTCCAACCACTTTCTTTGTTTTCGCTACATTTTGATCACCCCAAAAAATCCGTGCCATACCAAAATCAGATATCTTCGGGTTCATTTGTCTATCGAGCAAAATATTACTAGCTTTTAGATCCCGGTGAATGACCTTAAATCTTGAATCTTGATGAAGATAAAGAATCCCTCGAGCAATCCCACATATGATCTCGAGTCTGATTTTCCAACTGAGTAACGTTTTTCTCTTTGTCTATAATTATTTCAAAAGACACCTTAGATTTGAATAAAAAATATGTATCGAATGAAAAAAAAATAAAGCCTGTGAAAAAATTACCAAAAAGGAACATATCGAGACTTTTATTTTCCATGAACTCATAAACCAATAACTTCTCTTCGGCTTCAATGCAACAACCTAATACTCGAACAAGGTTCCGATGTTGGAGTTTCGCGATTAACTGAACCTCGTTTTTAAGTTCTTCAATCCCTTGATCAGAAATTCTTGAGAGTCTTTTTACCGCTACAACTTCACCTTCCTTTAATGTACCCTGTATTACCAACAACAAAAATCTTCTTGATGTTCTCATGTTTATCACGACACAATAATTTAAAAGGGAAACTTAAATAACATTTTATACTCTTGATATCAATATAGGGAATGCACTTTTTTCCGACAACACTAGTTATACTTTTGTACCCATAATAACAATATACTTATATTTCTTCACCGATAACAACAAAATATGTATCATGAAACTTATAAAAAAATATACTTAATTTCTTACTCATGTTAACAACTTAAATGCATTTCTTAGCCATAGAATAGTAGCAAAATAAGTACATCTATTTACTAATAATAACAATGCACTTGTTCTTTTTTTTGCTATTATAATAATAATATGTAATCTAACACTAGTAAGTATTTTGTAACTTTCAGGTAAAATGTTGGTATAATCCGTAGATAAAAGAAAGTATGTTGTTAAGTAACTTGTCATTATGAGTAAAATGTATAGTATGTTGTTATATGGGTAGAAAGAGTAAAGTAATTTGCTATTTTATGCAATTTGTGGGTATTTCAATTGTTAATACGTTGAAGATACTTTACCTTATAAACACACCCGAACCCGCCTTGCCCAAGTTTACTTGAGTTCGAGAAGTTGTTTGTAGCCATAACAAGTGTCATAAAATCGAACAAAGGTAACTCAAGTTCATCTGTCTTTGTTTCACCATAATAATCTCTTTTATTTGGCACCACCACCCCATCTTTTAATGTGAAATCTTTGACTCGTTTTTCTGGAGCTAATTTTGATCATTAAAAAAGTATACTAGTCATATGTGAATCAAGAAAACAACCTATTTTGACCTTAGAAATCTTTAAGTGTTAATGTGATTTTAAATTATTTTCTATGTTAATTTAATGATATTTATACTCCTCAAAGTTAAAAATTACCTGGTATATCTGACTCTAGTTTTTTCAACCTTTGTAGTTTCTTCCTCATCAAGTGAAAGAGTATAATTAGAAATATCAGCACCACACTAGCACCGATGGTAATGCCAACAAGTTTGACAACTTTGTTGTTGCTGCCGGAGCTATTTTTAGAACTTTTAGTCATCGGTGATTCGCCTACAGTGAATAGATTCGTACTTAATGATATCTGAAATTGTAAAATCCAAGGCAAATCTACAACTTTTAATACATATGATAAATTTCACCAAACTGCCAAAGTAAGTTTTTGTGTGTCCCCCAAAGTAACGAAGTCTAATGTTGTATATAATATTAATGCATGAGATACACATTACGTGAGTCTGTTTTCTTCCAAAAGAACAACTTGGGTAAAACATGCCTAAATAAAACTTTTGACTACTGATTATATTATCAAGATGACAAATTAAAGAAACTTTTGGACCAAAAGATAGCTACTTATTTTGAAGTATGGTCATTCATGGCCTCATGGGCAAGAAAATAAACTACGATTTGTAATATTTGTTATGTAAAAACATAATCCGTTGTATTGTATTTAATATGTATCGAGGTTTGGATTTGAAATGATGTTCATGCGACAAAAAAATGTTTTTTTTTTTTTATTGTGAAAAAGACAATTTTTATGCTTTATCCGAAATATAGATGAAAATAAAGTTTTTTTTATTAAATAACCACTAATTTCACATGCCTTCATTAGTTTTTTCAGTTTTTTTTATATACCATTTTTTTTAAAAAGAAATTCACTTCATTTTATCAGTGAAATCTTTATTTTTCCTGTGAAAATGGTATTTGAAGATTGCTACCACAATAATTAATGGTTTTCATAAAAATATAAACAATTCTGGCAGTATATAAAGAACAATAGTTTCTTATGTCAATCTTTTTTTTCTAAAGTTTTGGTCATTTTTTGCTGGTCAAACCTACGAACTCGCATGTCAAACAAAAGAATTTGAAGGCAAAACCTATGTAATAAGTTTCTCTTCAGAAAAACAACGATTTAGTATTTCACAGATTTAATATTACTGATTATAGTTTTAACACATCGACCATAACATACAATGGTGTCATAATTTCTTTCATCAGTCATTTTAAATATTTAATTAATGGTTTTTTTTCTTCATTATTATATAAATCAGTGATGTTGATGTTTGTTTTAATTATCACATTTAGAACAATTTTCCCAATCGCTTCGTGAAAAGACCAATTTATGGTGTTGCTTAAAAGCTTAATTAACAAACTGTCTTTGTTATGCTAAGCTCATTGATGAATGGGTCGTTAAAACTGTCAAAGATTCTCACATAATTAATTACTAGTTAAAAAAATGAATAAAAAAGAGAAAAAAAAAATCAACGAAGCCATTCTAGAACTAGACTTTGGTTAGCTTTGATTACTGGGATATCCTACAATTTGTTTAAAATGAAGGTTAAAAGAGCAATTTTTTTTAGATGCATAAATTTTGCAACTTTTTCTATTTTTACCGTTATGTTATCATATGTTTCAGTATATTTGAAATATACTTCCAAGTTTGTAATCTTTTACGTTTTTACAATGAATATATTGATACTTTTTCATATTATATGTATTCATACAGTATAAAACGTATTTATATATAATTTTTTAATTAAAAAATAGAGTATATTTATGTTTTTATCCTAATTTTTTATATTATATGTATTCATGTTGAAGTATAAACATGTTTTTAGAAATATATAGATAAATTTTTTAAATATATAAATATGTTTTTATAAATATAAATATATATATTTTTTAAGTTTTAGATGTATATATGTTTTTTAGAAGTCTAAATACATATATTAATGTGTTTAGAAATATAAATATTTTTTATTGCATATAGACATGTATTATAGCAATCAAAATCGTACTTATAAAGAAGAATACCAAGAAAGAGGATCAAACTCGTTCTATAATAGGTTTTTGATTGATACATACGTGTTTACAAATTTTAATAAACCTTTTTTATTTTTTTATAATCATAAAGTTTAAAAAATAACAATAAAAATATAAGTTTATTCTATTTTTTCTTTAAAATTAAAAATATTAACATTATTATAAGTTTAAACAATAAATTGTAATAGGGCTATAAATAATAATATTTTATTAAAAATGGCAAATTAAATTATATTTTTGGTCCATGTGGTTTGCACTTTGTAGATTTGGCCTAAGTTTTGAACAATTGATACAGATGGTTCTTGTGCTTTTAAAAATCCAACAAAGTTGGTATTTTTCTCGGTTGTCTCTAGCCTCAACCGTTAAACTCGTGTAAAATGACAAAAATATACCCATGTTTTTGCCAATTTCTAATTTTATTATCATATAATTGTTTATAATTATTAAAGAAATGACTTGCCTATTCCCTTTCTTTTTGGAAAACCCACGGACTCCTCCAGATCACCACCAATCCATGAAGATGATGTTTTTGATTTTATTCTCTTATTGAAATGAAGATTTGATCAGAAATGAAGGTGGATGGTTGTGTGTGTGTGGACAGATGTTGTCAAGTAATGAATAATAAACTGATGGAGGTGGAGGGATTATGTTGAACAAAAGAGTCTATTAGAGTATGACTTTTCTTTCACACTCGCTAATGATTTTAGAAATAGTTCATGAAGTTTATAGATGTTATTACTTTTGGTCCAATGGCAAAAATAAATAAATTATGAGAGTCTTAAGAAATAAACCAAATGCGATGGAATTTAAAATTACAAGAACCATCCGTATCGATTTCAACACTTTGATCGAACATGTAAACTAGTACAAACCACATGGACCCAAAAAGTAGTTTACCCTAATAAAAAAATCTGGACGGCTTATTAATAATATGATAAAAATAAAATTAATTAGCGTCCATATGAAGAATATAGAAAATTACTCTTCTTAATAAATTGTTGTGTTTAATTGAATTGGAATGATTGTATAAAGAATCAAAGAACACATATTTTCAAAATCTTGATCGAAGGGTAACAAAATATAAATGTGCATTATGAAACATACCCAAGTCAGAAGCTGCAACTCTAACGTAAAGATCCTGTCCACCATCTTCAGAATCAGCATACCGCCTCATATCGACCAGATCCATTTCCCAAATCAGACAACCCGACCCGCCTTCAGTGACATCCATATTAGCATAAGCTGCACAAGAACATTTCTTTTTGCAAATCTCACCACACTCGCTCAAATTCTTCGTCTGATCTACAAACGCTTTCGAACTCTCCGGCAATTTCATGTTCTTCAATGGCAGAAATCCATCCGACCCACAATCCAATTTGGAGCTCCGATTCCGAACACACCCATCGGACCCATCTCGAAAATCCCATGCTTGTTTGTTTTTCGGCGCGAATCCGGGTGTCATGCAATTGCACATCGGTGCAGTGTTTGCATCACAAAAGCCGAAGGGCCCACATTCATTAAACTTATCGCAATAATCATCGGGGAAAGACCAGAATACATTCCAGGTTTTTGTTGTTTCAGCCCAAACGAATCTTTGAGCAATACCAGAAGAATTCATAACCACACGTGAATAAAGAGAAGCATTCAGCATTTCAAATGAATAAATTATCTCCTCGGAGTTCTCCTCAAATTCAAACTGCATTATACTCACCGCTTTCATCCCCGGTACACCGCTAAACTTTCTCCCGTTCCACGGCCCAGTCCGCCAAATTATTTTTCCGTCGTTGTTCAGTAACAAAAGCTCCCGGAACCCAATCATATTCACTTGATATGAGTAATCACCGGTCGCCGGATCTTCGTTTGTCTTCCACGACCGGAGAACCCGATTAATTCCAGATTTCCTGTCCCACCCAAGTTTCATCCCCGGTAATTGAGTATCAGTCGGATAATCAAAGTTTTGCCAAATATAATTCTCTTGATTCTCATCGTTTTCCGGACGAAGCACAAAGTTACCGTTGTCCAAAAGCTGCGCCACCGTCTTCACCACCGGTGTAGATGGATTTGACGACCAGACTGCGGTTTCTGCTTTATCTACGAGCACCAAGTTGCCGTTGTCAGTGATGGTTAGTTTCCCGGTGGATGAATTAATGGGGGTGTCTCTGTTAGCTACCCAAACAATCGTTCTCGGCTGAATTTGTTTATACCAAATTGCTATGTAAAAATTATTGCTTGTATTAAAGAAACCCAACTCGAAGACTTGACCATTAGAGACTAGAGTTTGATTCATGGTGAGGGGTTGTGTGGGGGTGATGGTGTCAATGGCTACAGAGAGAAAAGGGTAGAAGATGAGATTGAATATGAAGATGAAGATGAAGGCGGTGCCATGGCTATGGAGGGTTTTCATTCTTTGAAAGTTACATACACCAATATAATTTTGTTTTGTGTTTACTGATTTGGGGTACTGGAGATTTTATGTTGGTTCTCATCTTAAAGAATTCATGGAAATGGTGGAATAAGTCTCCAGATGTTAATAGGGTATGTGTTATATTTTTTAATTCTTGAATCCGGTTTGGTAAGTTGAATTTTCTTTTAGAAATGACGATTGCCTGATTATCAAGAAAAAAGTAATGGAAATCATATCTTAAGTTCGTCATAGTCATTGGGTGATTGTGCAAAACAGTGAATAAGATAAAGAGTTTGATATATATTAAAGGGATAATGACTTGAGAGTTGAGAGGCAACCTACTTTTTTCATATTTGGTTATTGAATTATTTTTCGTGTTTTATTTACCTTTGAACTTATTGAAACGTGTATATTATACCGGTTATAGCCGGTTTTACAAGTTTGTCTTTAATTATGTTTAAAAGAAACATTACGTGGAAATGACATGGCTTCCCCCCTCATTAAAGTAGACCTTGAGTTCACATTTAACCCCTGAACTCGATTAGGGCATCGATTCTTCATCTCACTCCTTCCTTACTTTGAAGAATTGCATCTTCTCCTAGTGATCGAAACTTTATTGTAGTGGACATCCACTACAATGGGATGTTTGTACCAAGCCCCTAGTCTACTTTGATGTTGAAGGAGAATCCGTTCGTGACGTTGAATATAGTGGGTTTGGGTACTTAGAGTTCATTGATTTCCTTGAGAGGCTCACTAGTAAGAGTTGAAAATATGTGTACTTCTACCTTCCACAAGAATCATTGACTTAGGGCATTCATATATTGCACAACGATGGTGATTACAAAGAATTTTTGGATATGACATATGCTAATGAAAGAGAATGCATGTGTATGTGGACCACCTCAATGGACATATCTTTGACTAGATTGAGGTTGAGGAACCCGTAGAAACAAATGAAGATGAAGATCAAAACTATAAAGAAGAAGATTCAGTCTTTTCAGATTCATGTTCTGTTGACCAAGATAAGATGATGCTTTTTTCCTTTTGCAGCCAACAAAACTGTAAATGTTTTGTTAATGATAGGTTTTTAAACATTCTTTTTCCTCCTATACCTACGAATGAAGATGATGAGAATGTTCTACCCCAATACCTTGTACATGATAACCATGGGATAAGATTAAACCAATGTTAGGTATGCGATTTCTAATCCTACTGAGCTTAAGCATATGTTAAGCAGCTATGCAATTGCTAATGGGTATGATTTTTGGTTTGAAAAAAAAAATGACTCTGAAAGATTGTTAGTTAAATGTTACAAAAAGAACAAGTCACTATCTTGCCTCTTTATACCTTGGGCCTCTTTGATGGCTAAAGAGAAGACATTTCAGATCAAATCTCTAGTTAGCGAACATAACTATTGTAGTTTTTAAGCTTGGGTCAATAGTGACTTATAGGTGGATATGAAAACATTTTATGAGTGAAATTATAGATAAGCCAAAATGAGTTTAAGGAAGATTAAAGCTAAAGTGTCCACAAAATTCAATATAAATGTGAGTTTAGGACACTGTAGAAATTATAACAACCAAGAAAATTAGGTAATCATTCACCGGTCTCGGTCACCGTGAACACCATTGGTAATAGACCTAATGTATTGAATTCCATCATATTCATGCAAATAAAGTTTACATACTTAGAATTGCATGTGGAATACCCTGTTTGTCTCTTATTGATGTTGAACGGCTAATGAACGTAACACTATTCACAATAATACTTAGGAACACATGATACTCTAAATGGATATATTATGTTAACAAGATTTTGTGAATATAAAGAATGTCGAAAACGGAGATCGTACGCAAAAGATACGCCCTTTTAAAAAAGCTAAAATCAGTAATATAACTTATTTTTCCGGAAACGAACATTGTATTAATTCGTTGGGTTAGTTATACATCTTGTTAAGCGTTTTTTAACATGTTTTTAGACTAAGACTATACTTTATTATTTGATTTATTCTCGAAATATTTTTAACACAAAATTATAGTTGTTTTATATAAACATTCGTAACAAGAAAACTATAAATATAATTAAGTTAGAACTTTGAGTACAATTGTAACCTATTACCGTCATTAGTTCAGAAATTTCGATCATATTTCTGAAGTCAGCACGTACATCTGACAGGCAAAATTAAAAAGTCGAAACGGAATCGGATTTTGGGTAGGGTTATCGAGGCGACACGTGTCACATAGAGAGAGGTTCTCATTCCTCTCCTCATCTATAAATAAGAAGATTATCTCACACAATTTTCAACCATCCTCAATTTCTATCTCTCTCTCTCTCTCTCTCTCTCCTCTCTCTCTCTCTCTAACCGTCAACGACGAGAAGGTTTCGGCACTCCTTAGCGTCGTGTTGCTACTGTGCACCACCATCTGTTACCTGCAGCCACCTGAGCCCCAGGCCAGCAGCTCCTATCCGACAGTCCTCCCTCCGACCAACAACAACTCAGGCAAGGCCTAACAGCCCTATAACTGTCGGAAACAACCATCGCCGCTAGCTGCAGTCGTTAAGCATCACCAAATTACATGAAATTCGACCAGAAGGTTCTCCTCCACCCCTTAACACTCGAAATCAGGTCTCACCTCAAACCTCCGCCTGAAAACAACTTTTGCAGCCAGTTTTTTTTTAGCAAACGACTGATTTTGGAAATTTTATGGCGAGCCTCCGGGCAATTTTTCGGCGACGACAAGTACTTTTTCTGACACGTATCAACCCAATCTACGACCCCGTGAAGGCATTCTGCTCCAAAAGCGTGTATGGTGAAAAGTTATAAATCGTAAGACGCATCCCGGTTCCCGATCTGAACAATTTTTCCGACAAATTTGAATAGTTTTTCCTACTCGCTTTTGCCCGATGTACAGCCTTTAAGTATTGTTTCGTTGAAAAAGTGTGTCGTTCGTGAAATCCCAAGTCGTAGTTCGAATCTCGGTTTTAGATATGAACAAAGCAACGGTAAAGCATGTAATGAACGTGAGTTCTACGACCCTCTTTAAGTTTTTTATGTTTGGGGGAGAATACATACACAACTCGGCTTTACGTTTATATAAACTATATATGGTTTGTTAAAAGTTTATATTTTTCTTTTATATATATATATATATATATATATATATATATATATATATATATATAATATATATCTTATGTTTTAAACTAACTAAAGATATAGTTTTAATTAATAAACAATAATCGTTATTTTATTCTTTGTAAACTTAACGCTCAAGAAAGTCGTTAAGCGTCATTTTTAATTATAAATGATATATTTACTTCTTTATGAACTTATACATTACTTTGTTTTTATTGGTTTAACAACCGATAAAACATAGTTTTTGTAAAAATACAGCTTTTATACTGCCCAATTTTTATTAGAAAACTTTTATTATAGTTTTACATAACAAACGAACATTTAGTCTAGTAAACTTTATAAGTGTAGGTTTAAGACATGAAAATAATATTTTTGAATGATTTGGACTTAACGAACGAACAATAATGTAGTAAAAATTTTAAAGAAGTTTCGAACACAAATGCACACACTTTTAAATCTGTTAAAATCGAGATTTCTATATGAGTTGTTACTCTTCATCAACTAAGAACAAAAGCTTAGTAAAACCCTCTGTATTGTACTATAACTGTGAATCTTAAACGAGCGAGGAATGTTGTGTATAGATCTATACGTGTTGACACCACCGACTGTAGTAGCTAGTTATAACCTTCGCCTGACGAGTCGAAAAGTGCGATAATGTTCATTCACGACGTCGATGAAGCGTTGGTGATGTTCTCGGCACGCCACTTTGCAGTGTCATACGGAGGCTCAATCCATTCATTTAGCTCGGTTATATGCTCATGATAACCCCAGAGTTCACTCTAAAAGCACTCGTATAGAATTGAAATAGTGTCTATAAGCAACCAATGCACTCGTATAGAATTGAAATAGTATTTATATGCAGCCAATGCACCCGTATAGAATTAAAATAGGATTTATGCATAGCAATGCACTCATATAGAATTGAAATAGTATTTATACGTAGCCAATGCAATCGTATAGAATTGAAATAGTACTCTAGTGAAGATGCATTTGCAGCATCAAAAAGGGTTAGAATGGATCTGGGAACCCGAAGTCGAGATGCAAGGATAGTTTCCAGAGTTGTTTAGCGAGACAGATTTTGAGGATGAAATCCAGATAAGTGGGGGAGAGTTGTAACACTCGATTCCGGTATGTTAGTTTACCCTTTTGTTCATATGGAGGGTTTTGTAAATTCTCACCTTCGCGGCATGGTAGATGGCTTTCCACGATGTGGTATTGCCATGTCACCCAGACGCGATGCTTATTTAGACCACAACGCGATGACCCAATGGACTCTAAA